CTCTCTCTCTCTCTCTCTCTCTCTCTCTCTCTCTCTCTCTCTCTCTCTCTCTCTCTCTCTCTCTTCTCTCTCTCTCTCTCTCTCTCTCTCTCTCTCTCTCTCTCTCTCTCTCTCTCTCTATCTCTCTCTCTCTCTCTCTCTCTCTCTCTCTCTCTCTCTCTCTCTCTCTCTCTCTCTCTCTCTCTCTCTCTCTATGATCGATCCCAAATTCGCCGTTTTTGGTACAACCTTATCATACATCAATTCTACCATGTTGTGAAAATTTCAGACCAAGGTCATTCAAGGTCAGGTCACCAGGTCACTTGAAGTGACCTCACCTCATAAAAACTTTCAATGTCTGTCATAGCTACACCGAGTGACGGATCGCTTTGAAACTTTCAGCGATTGCTGAGAGCAACAGCATGTACAAAATGTTTATCTCAGAATTTTGATATCGATGACCTAAGGTCAGGTCAATTTTGCGACCTCCCCATTATAAGTCAATGGGAGAAAATTGAAATGCGCCTCTTTTGGATGAAAGACATTATAAACACTCCCAAACACCAAATTACAAGTGGTTTAGACACACTGAACATGAAAATGGTGTCCGTGACCCTTGTTTATGCCCTGAGGTCATCTTGGGTCACGAATGGTATCTAACAGTTTTTCGCAAATAACTTTTGATAGAGGCATGCTAGAGCGATGAAAACGCCTTAGATGTGTTCAGCTCGACGATACGGATCGACTAATATGCAACATGACCCTTTCCGGTCAGGTCATGACCTTGACCTGAGGTCAAATTTTCAAGTTGACCTTTCAAGGTCAAGTCATAGTCCATTCGATGCGTCTTGACGAGAGGAACACGATGCCGGTAAAAGTAAGCTCGTACAAGGCTTGGGTCATAAGTTATTGCAGAAAAGCTGTTTTCGAAAAAATCGGCTATTTTTGCAGTTTTTGCCCCCTGCAGGCAAAACCGTTGACGTAAGGGCAAATCTGAGAGCATTATTCAGAAAGGGCGTTAATAGGGCTATCGAATGCGCTTTTCCGCGGCGCTGTAGCTCTATTGGTTCCCGAGTTATGCGTTGGCTTCTTGGAGATTTTCGACATTCGACCTGGAAATCGGCGAAATTTTGCCTTCAATGACCTCTGGTGACCTGACCTTTGACCTGACCAAAAAATTGACTGAAGTGATTTCGTCATTATTTTTGACGCTCTTTCGAACGCCGCCTTCCGCGTATCGCTACGTGGCCCAGGAGCCGAGTTACAAGGGGGGGGGTGTTCAAACCCCCCCCCCCCAGCAGGGCGTGGAAATCCAGGACCCCCAGCAGGGCGCGGGTTAATGCGTGATAGAGTTTTCGACCTTACTGACGGATCAGCTGATCGTGTAGCCTTTTAAATTCTCGAGTAAAGCGGGTATTCAAGCTTCTTCGTAGCTACGTTCTGTCGTATCTTCCGACAAACTCCACTTTCCTCAACATCCCTCCTTTTTCGCTACGACACAACTTGCGACGGGACATGTGTCTTAACTTGCGACGTTTCGTAGATGGACTTGCGACGCCCTGGATACCCCCGGCCGCGTGCTACAATTTCATACGTTTGTCAGCAATAGGTTAGCAGTCATTAACGATGGATCTGAGACAGAGAACTGGAGACGAGCGGCGCCACCTGCCGCCACTCCACTGCTCATTACTTGTGGCGCTGCCTGACTGGTGATGTGTGTTGTTTGTTTCTTTCCTAGTCTGTCGTTTATTTGTTTTGAATCGTAAAGATGTGAAATAAATAAAGATATTAAAAAAAGAAAAAAAAAGAGAACTGGAGGTTTGTGAGGGGTGAAGAAAACCCAGCGGACGATGCCTCCAGAGGCGTCCAGGACGAGAGGTGGCTGGTCGGACCCCAGTTCTTGACACTGGGAGAAGACGACTGGCCAAAGACACCGCCAGCTATGGACAAGCTGACATTGTTACTCATAATAACAATCTGAATCCCAATGTCCGCTTCTATAGGTATGGAGTTTGTACCGTAACGATGTAGGCAGTAGGAATATCAACTACCCCCCCCCCCCATGACTCACCACATCCGAGATGAAGACGCCTGGACTGTTTTTTTCTGCCGACGATGCTCAGACCCAGCCCCTTGCCAGGCCTTTTCACCATCTGAACGTCCATCTTCTCGAACACGTCCTCCTCTTTGGCGGCGCCCTCTTCCCGGTACACCAGCATCCGCACCTGACCATGGCCCAGTCTGGTCAATGGTACAGCCGCAGGACGTATTTAACTGGGTCGGCACTTGCCGACGGAGAACGGGGGTCTACGCCAACTTAGAACCAACGGGGGGAGGAGGCAGTTGACCGCCCCCCCCCCCTGAGATCTGAAAAACGAAGCAAGATAGCGACAAGCGGTTAACAGCATGGGGGATCTGCGTAGGATGTCCCTACGCAGGGACAAGATCTACAATTTTTACTAAGGTCATTTTCAGGTCAGGTCAAAGATGACGTCACAGGGGTCAAAAAAGTCAAAATGGTAGCTAGAAATGAAGTTTTTTTCGAATAACTTTCGAAGTAGCAGGCTAGGAAAAACCTAATGACACCATCGTGATCCCCTCATCAATCCGCATCGAACCATATATGTGTTAACCTCGAAAGGTCTAGGTCGAAGGTTGACCTCAGGTCACGTGACCTCAAGGTTATCATGCATACCATTCGATGCGCCTTGACGAGCTGAACACAAAGAGACCACCCGCTCGGCTGTATCTTGTTCCTGTAAAGAGTTATTAGCAAAAAAACCTTTGGTGACCCTTGATGACGTCACATGACCTTACAGCTGCCCAAGGGCAGAAAAAGCCTCAAGGTACTCAAGGTTGGTCGTATATGAAGTCATTCATGGCATAATGGGCCATTTTGACGCGTTTTAGGGGGAAACATTTTTTTGCCCATATGATGGGAAATCTTATAGGATCCGCGTTGATTTTTCCCCCATTGACTTATAAAGGGAAGGTCAAGAAATTGACCTGACCTTAGGTCATCGATATCAAAATTCCGAGATAAACAAATTGCAGCCATCCATGACTTCATTACATCCTGCGACTTTCAAAGGCCTCCGCCATCTACTGCAGCTCTGACACGGTGACAGTGCAAAAAGTGATTTAAGGTTGGGTCATTCGAAGTGACCTGGTGACCTGACCTAGAGAGGTAAAAGGTTCAAATTGGCACACCATGTGTAAAATTGATGAGGGAAAGGTCATGTCAAATTTCGCTGCGCTACGCGCCGCGATTTTCCCGCTATTCGCGAAAAGCTCAGGGCGGGGAGCGGTTAACCGCCCCCTCCCGTCAGTGCGCGGGGTTGGGGGGGGGGTAAATTTTACCCACCCTCGCGAATTTTTGCAATAACTCAAAAACGGCGGCACGCAGCACCGCCAAACTTTCAGTACCTTTTCTTACATCAATTTGACACGTTCCCTGAAAATTTGGGCGAAATCCGTCGCAACATTTTTGAGAAATTGACGTTTTAGTGACGTCATGTTCGCCATTTTCGCCTCAAAAACGGCAAAATTTTAAACGCCGCTAACATCTTCATTTTTAAAGGAATCAGGACGTAACAAAAAAATTATACGTAATTCTACTTTGTCTATCAAATGGCTATCTCGGTTTTTTGAAAATTTTGGATTTTGGCCAATTTAAAAAAAAACTGACTTTTTTTGGGAAAATAATTATAAAATCCAAAATTTTGAGTGTATCGAAAAAACCGGAATATATGTCAGAGATGTGGTCTATGTGCACCTACATACCAATTTTTAGAAGAATCGGTTCAAAAATGTGGGAGTTATTAAAAATTTCATGACGTCACGACACACAAAAATTTTGAAAAGTGAATTTTTTGGAAGTTCTAGACCTCGTACGGAAACAAAAATAGCACCATTCGATTTGCCGTGAAAAACTGCATCAGATAGACACCTTTTTAGGCCTTAACAGCCAACTTCAAAATTTGACCTCACTTGACCTGACCTGGACCTGACCTCGACCTGAAATTCATCCAGATGTGGTCCATATCACCTATTGAGTGTGCCTATTGAATTCTATGAATAAAATGACCCATAAAACATGTGTCGCACATGTCCTTTTCTATATTTTGTTTTTGGTGACCTGACTTGACCTGACCTGACCTTGACCTTGACCTCTGAATGATATTGTATGCAGCGAATATTGTCTTGGTAGCCTAAGAACATGTTTTGGGCAATCAGTCTCAGTCCATTCTTCGGCAACTACGGTGCAAGGCCGATAATGTAGAAACTTGCAATTTGTACCCTTGACCTGACCTTGACCTTGACCTCAAGGCTCAAACTTTAAATTAAGTACATGTTTTTAGTTGTTCGTGATGAGGTCTTTCGATTGGTGTTGGAATTTTCCACATCGGACCATTAGTTCGGGAGATAACAGGGGGGGGGGGGTAAAATTTACCCACCCGCAGCCCCGCGCGTTCGGCTGGAGACCCCAGCCCCGCGCGGGTTAATGTGAAGCAGCCGTCCATTAATTAATCCCCGCCCCGTTGGGGGGCCAATATGCCCCTCCCCCCTGTGGGTTTTCCTGAATAGCAAGAAAACGGCGGCGCGAAGCGCTGCTAAATTTTTAGTACCTTTCCAGGCATCAATTTGACAACACACAAAATTTCCAGTCTTAGGTCACCTTAGGTGAGGAGTTATTGAGGTCATGTTCGAGCGAAAATGAGCAAAAAACATGAAATCTTGAAACGCTCACAAAAGCTAGAGTTAACAAGCTATTCCAGAGTTCTTTATGTGGTCGTGTGGGAAAAAGACGGCGCTACAAAATTGCTATCTCAGGCTTTCAAAATGTCGTGATTTTGATCCCCCAAAATAAAAATAAATCGATCTTTTTCATAAAATAGCAAAAAAAAAATAACCGAATTTAAAAAAAAACAATATTTATGATAATATCTACGCTCGTCTATCTACATGCCTAATTTCATATCGATACCTCCTTTTTGGCCAAGTTAGAGCGAAAAAACTTTAAAATTGAGGCCGTCAAATTTTTGAACTCCATTTTTAGCAATTCTAGAACACGTAGAGCAAAACAAAGAACATCATTAGACTCCCCGTCACGAGCTGCATCGAATCGATGCCCATTTTATCCAAAAATATCAAGTTTCAAAGTTAACCTCATTTGACCTGACCTTGACCTGACCTTCACCAGAACATAACCTAAATTGGTCCCAAAGGCTGCCTGACCGACATAATCGCATTTGTCATGTAAAATGGACCATAAAATATGCATTACATATTTTCTTTTGACCCTCAGTGACCTGACCACTATGACCTGACCTGGTATCAGTGACCTCAAATAGAAAAATATGTGCTTAATCCGCGCCCTGCTGGGGGGGGGGGGTGTTTGAACACCCCCTTATGGTTTTTCGCGAACGCCGCTGTTTTTGGTACACCTTATCATACATCAATTCTACACATGTTGTGAAAATTTCAGACCAAGGTCATTCAAGGTCAGGTCACCAGGCCACTTGAAGTGACCTCACCTCAAAAAAAAGTTTCAATGTCTGTCATAGCAACACCGAGTGACCGATTGCTTTGAAACTTTCAACGATTGCTAAGAGCAATAGCACGTACAAAATTTATATCTCAGAATTTTGATATCGATGACCTAAGGTCAGATCAATTTTGCGACCTCCCCATTATAAGTCAATGGGAGAAAATTGAAATGCGCCTCTTTTGGACGAAAGGCATTATAAACACTCCCAAACACTGAATTACAAGTGGTTTAGACATACTGAACATGAAAATGGTGTCCGTGACCCCTGTTTATGCCCTGAGGTCATCTTAGGTCACGAATGGTATCTAACAGTTTTTCGCAAATAACTTTTGATTGAGGCATGCTAGAGCGATGAAAACGCATTAGATGTGTTCAGCTCGACGATACGGATCGACTGATATGCAACATGACCCTTTCAGGTCAGGTCATGACCTTGACCTGAGGTCAAATTTTCAAGTTGACCTTTCAAGGTCAAGTTATAGTTCATTTGATGCGTCTTGACGAGAGGAACACGATGCCGGCAAAAGTAAGCTCGTGCAAGGCTTGGGTCAAAAGTTATTGCAGAAAAACTGTTTCCGAAAAAATCGGCTATTTTTGCAGTTTTTGCCCCCTGCAGGCAAAACCGTTGACGTTAGGTCAAATCTGAGAGAATTAATCAGTAAGAACGTTAATAGGGCTATCGAATGCGCTTTTCCGCGGCGCTGTAGCTCTATTGGTTCCCGAGTTATGCGTTGGCATCTTGGAAATTGTCGACATTCGACCTGGAAATCGGCGAAATTTTGCCTTCAATGACCTCTGGTGACCTGACCTTTGACCTGACCAAAAAATTGACTGAAGTGATTTCGTCATTATTTTTGACGCTCTTTCAAACGCCGCCTTCCGCGTATCGCTACGTGGCCCAGGAGCCGAGTTAGAAGGGGGGGGGCTGTTCAGACCCCCCCCCCCCCCCAGCAGGGCGTGGAAATCCAGGACCCCCAGCCGGGCGCGGGTTAATGAACAATTCTCCATCGATGATTTTCAATGAAATGAATTTTACTCTATTTTACAACACATTTCTTGAAATGCCTGTAAACGGTGAAAAGTCGACGTTTAACCTGAACTGTGACATCATCAGTTTGACCGAACTCAATGAAATTGGCTAACAAGGTAGTCCCCGTTGGGGATATCCAACACCGTTTGCTGCTTGTCCTTATGCTGCGTGGTTCTCGAGCTCTTAGGGGGCCAAAGTCCCCTCCCCCCCAACGGGGCGTGTCACTCGGCAGACCACAACGAGGCGCGGGTTAAAAGTGATGATACGGCAACTCAGTGTGATAGTGCCGCCGTTGACCCTCGCCCGCACATGGAGGGGGGGGGGGTGTCATCCCCCTAGGTAGTTTTTCTGCTCTGCACTAAACATTTTTCAAACCAGAAGCCTGATTTTTCGTATAGCTGCTTCTCTATCCTTTCTCAACGTCCACTGAATATTTCAAGTTTCTGTGTTTTTTTTTTGTTTGGCGGATATATGAACTTGTTCTTCAGGTCATGTCATGACCCAAATGACCAATACCCAATATCTTGCATTGGCAATGGGTCTTGTGAGCTTTTGACACCTTGATGTCGTTTTTTTTTTTTTTTGCTAGTCTTACCTCTCATCTACCATGGAACATGTTATTCGACGATGTACAGATGTCAGGG